CGCCCGGAGCGCGAGCGGTTCCCCGAGTAGGATTTCGAGGCTCCCACGGGAAGCCTGTCCGCCTCGCGCCCGGGGGGAACCTCCGCTCGGAAAGACGCCCCGGTATCGTGTACCTGGCGCCGCGCGCTAGCGAGTGCTCTCAATCGGGACACACGGAACTCACGGCATTTCCCAAGGTGGCTTCTGCGCGCGGGGACAGGTGCTGGGATCTCCCCGCCAGACGCATTCCTAAGAGTTTTGGGGGAGGTTTGTCACTTCACCCCGTTTCACTTTTACTGGCCTGTGGGTCATGGATGGCGGAAACTCAGGATTTGGCCAACTTGTGTGGATTCCATGGAGCCCGGGTTCTCAGGGCATTCATTGAAATGCGCGGAATAATGGATGTTAGGGGAAGCTGGAGGAAAGAGGACAGGCACGTCAAGATACCAAAGGAGAAAAGTTTGGATAGATATAGACAGTCCACAGACGTAGGGCTAACAAGAACTCTATTCCACAGGAAAAATAGTAACCCACTGTTCTCCACATTATATCACCTTTAAAAAAATTTTTTTTTCCTCCAAATACCTATGCTTTCTCCTAATAGCTCTTGCCTATTTTTCCTTAAAGCACACAGTTACCTGGTAAAAGGGCAGGTTCTGGAGTCAGAGTACTGAAATTCAAATTCCACATTTCTGGCTCCACCGGTCTTATTAGTTGTGGGCAACTAAACCTCTCTATGCCTCAGTTTCCTCAATGGGGAGAATTTAAAAACCTACCTCATGAGGTTGCTGTAAGATATAAGTGTAAACCAGTTACAGGCCTGAAACATTTTGAGTCACCCCAAATCAGCGCGTTAGCACTTTTCTGATGATACCTGAACTCCGTTGATAAAAGCTTATCATAAAAACTAAAACTACATTCTAGAAAGCAGAATCTTTGGAACCTTGAGGAAGGCAAAGATTTCTTAGATACAATGACAATAAAAAGCATTAATCAGAAAAGGAGAGACAGGTGGGGCTTCATCAAAATGTAAAACTTCTGTTATCCCAATGACATCATTTAAAAAGTGAAAATATTCACAATGTATATTGTGATAAGGAACTTGTATCCAGAATACTATATATAAAGAATCCTTGCCCTAGCCAGTTTGGCTCAGTGGATAGAGCATCTGCCTGGGGACTGAAGGGTCCCCGGTTCAATTCCGGTCAAGGGCACATGCCCAGGTTGCGGGCTTAATCCCCAGTAGGGGAAATGCCCCCTGCGTTTAAAAAAAAAAAAGAATCCTTATAACTCATAATACAACAATCCGGTATTTTTAAATGAGCAAAAGATTTCAATAGACAGTTCACAGAGAAGATATAGAAATAGGAAAAGACTTTCTGCACAGGCCAACAGAAGCAATCCGCTTGTTAGGCCTTCCTACTGGCCACAGTCAGGGGACGGCCACATGAGGACTAGAGACTCAGCTCCGTGAGCTTCTCAGGGTATGGAGTCATCCTCACCCGGGGGAGAAGGTTAGGGACTGCACCAAAGAGGAAAAAAAGGAACCTGGTCCAGGAGGGTGGTGATCCAGGCTCTCAGCCCATTGCCCAGGCAGTTCTACCAGCCTGCTCCAGAGAATTTAGATAATTTTAATTTTTGTCTTTTTTTAAAAAAATAATTCTTTATTATTGAAAGTATTGCATATGTTCGTCCCCCTTTTCCCCCTATTGACTCCCCCCAGAACTTCAGCACCCTATTGTCTGTGTCCATGGGTTATGCATGTATGCATACAAGGTCTTTGGTTGATTACCTCCCACCCACCCTCTTCCACCTTCCCTCTGAGATTCCTCACTCTGTACCATGCTTCCATGTCTCTGAATCCATTCCATTCATCAGTTTATTTTGTTACTTAGATTCCACATATCAGTGCGATCATGTGATACTTGTCTTCCTCTGACTGACTTATTTCACTTAGCATGATACTCTCCAGGTCCCTCCATGCTGTCTCAAAGGAGAATTTAGATAATTTTGAGGAGGACATTCCAATAGGGGAAGGGGGAAATGGGGTACGGGAGTTTGAGATGCACCTAGGACAGTGGTCGGCAAACTCATTAGTCAACAGAGCCAAATATCAACAGTACAACGATTGAAATTTCTTTTGAGAGCCAAATTTTTTAAACTTAAACTATATAGGTAGGTACATTGTTATTAACTTAATTAGGGTACTCCTAAGGCTTAGGAAGAGCCACACTCAAGAGGCCAAAGAGCCGCATGTGGCTCTATTTTGTGGAAGAGCCACACTCAAGGGGCCAAAGAGCCGCATGTGGCTCGCGAGCCGCGGTTTGCCGCCCACTGGCCTAGGAAGATATAAAATGGCTCAAAATTGTTCAAATTTGATGAACACTGTGAACTACTATTTTTAAAGGCATTTAAATTGGAAAGGAAGAAGTGAAACTATTGGCAAATAACAACATTGTGTGATTAGAAAATCCTAAGGAATCTACAAAAAGAAATTACTGGAACTGGTTGCAGGATACAAGGTCAGTGTAACAATCAATCATTTTCTACATAGTAGAAAAGCACAATTGGGAATTGAAATTGAAAAATAAAACCATATAGTGCTCATCAGCATCCCAAAACATGAAATGTATAGGAATAAACCTAAAATATGTATAAGACCTGAACCCTATAAATCACTGCCAAGAGAAATTAAAGACCTGAATAGCTATTCATGCGTATGAATCAGAGGACTTGGGATTGTAAAAATTGTCAGTTATCCCCAAATCCCAGAAGAAAAAAATTTTAATTTGACAAGGTGACTCAAATTTATATGGAAATACATGCATAGAAAACACAAAGTTGGAGCACATACATATCTGTTTTCAAGCCTTAGTATAAAACCACAGTTTACAGGACAGTGTGGTAGGTAGGCATAAGGATAGACATACAAATCATTGAAACGGAATACAGTCCAGACGCATCTGTCACCTGATTTTCAACAGATTCAAGGTAAGTCTTTTCAACAAATGGTGCTGAGACACTTGGATATCCACACACAAACAAAATGAACCTTGATCCTTATGTTATACCAGAGACGAGTATTAATCTGATATGGATCGTAGACCTTATCATAGAAACTAAAACTATAAAATTCTAGAAGAAAACAGCATCTTTGGAACCTTGAGGAAAGTAAAGATTTCTTAGATACAATGACAAAAAAAAAGGCATTAATCAGAAAAGACAGATGGAACTTCATCAAAATGTAAAACTTCTGTTATTCCAATGACACCATTTAAAAAGTGAAAATAGCCCTGATCGGGTTGGCTCAGTGGATAGAGCGTCGGCCTGCGGACTGAATGGTCCCAGGTTCGATTCCTGCCAAGGGCATGTACCTGGATTGCAGGCACATCCCCGGTAGGGGGTGTGCAGGAGGCAGCTGATTGATGTTTCTCTCTCATCGATGTTTCTAACTCTCTATCCCTCTCCCTTCCTCTCTGTAAAAAATCAATAAAAAATATATTTTATAAAAAAAAAGTGAAAATATTCACAATGTATCTGATAAGGAACTTGTATCCAGAATACTTACTATATATAAAGAATCCTTACAACTCAATAATACAACAACCTGGTATTTTTAAGTGAGCAAAAGATTTCAATAGACACTTCACAGAGAAGATATAGAAATAATAGCACATGCAAAGATGCTCAGTCTTATTAGTCATTAGAAATGCAGATTAAACACACAATGAGATATCACTACATCTAATATTTTTAAATGTTGGCAAGGATGTAGAGCAATTGGCATTCTCATACATGGCAAAAGAGATACAACTTTGGGAAAAGGATTTGATAATTTCTTAAAAATATCAACATACACTTGCATATGACCCAGAAATTTCATTCCTAGGTCTTTATTCAAGAGAAGGAAAATAGGTCCACACAAAGACTTGGACACAAATGTTCACAGCAGTTTTATTCATAGTAACCCCTGAAAATAATCCATCAACATGTGAACGGATAAACAAATTGTAGTGTACTCACTCATGGAATATTATTATGCAATGGAAAAGAACTCACTACTGTACACACAATATGAATGAATCTCATATACTTTAGCTGAGCAAAAGAAGACAGACACAAAAGATTGCGTAGTGTATGATTACATCTATATGAAACTCTACAAAAGGAAAATCTACAATGACAAAAAAGAGAAAAGTTGCTGCCTGGCACTGGGGGTATGTGTGTGGATAGAACTGACTGGGAATAGACACAGGAATCCTTTTGGAGTAATATAAATGTCTATTCAATGATTGTGGTATATACGTTTGTCAAAACTCATTATATGAAACAGATAAAATGGATGCATTTCTTTGTGCATAAATTATTACATGGAGTTGATTTTAAAGTATCATGAATAGCCCTGACCAGTTTGGCTCAGTGGATAGAGCGTTGGCCTACGGACTGAAGGGTCCCAGGTTCGATTCCCATCAAGGGCATGTACCTTGGTTGCAGGCACATCCCCAGTAGGGGGTGTGCAGGAGGCAGCTCATCGATGTTTCTCTCTCATTGATGTTTCTAACTCTCTCTCCCTCTCCCTTCCTCTCTTTAAAAAATCAATAAAATATATTTT